CAAGGATAGTAATACAAGAATTATTCTAGAATGGGTAATATTTCAAGGGTAAATGCTAGTAAAAATCGGGCAAGGGGCAGTGATGATCTTAGACAAAAATCAAGTGTAACAATAGGAAGAATTGAGAGCAATAAGCCGACTGGTAGTTAGGAATAATATTAGCTTAGGTAGCTTTATCAGGTAGACATAGTGGGAAAATTTGTATAAAACAGTTTTGTACATGCTAATTCTATAAATCTAATAAAGCAAGATATATGCCAGTCGTCGAAAAAAAAATATATGTTAATAGTTAAAAAAATGAAATGTTTTTAAGAACATAAAATTCAAAAAAAAACTTTAATATCAATATAATAATTGTTAAATTTTTTTTATCTATTTTGAAAAATTCAAATTATTTTCTAAAAATATTATATATTATTGGTCTCAATAACAAGTCTATTGCTAATTCGAACCAAGACTTGTGCTATATTAGGTGAATAGATCTATGTCACTGACAATACTAAAGGTATATGTAGTAATAATTATCTTAATCTTCTCCTAGGTTTAATTGGTCTCCTTTTCTAATCTTTCTTATCAAGTTATAGGGTGGCAGATCCTCTCTAGGACGACTAAATAATAAATAAGGTAAGTTGATTAATTATTGTTGCACTGATACAAACAATTGGGTTTTGCAAAATCAGTATTTTATTAATTGATTCTGTTTGTTCTTTTACATTTGAACATTATTGCTATTTATATGACTGTGACACATCTTTAAATTTATCATTGCATTATAAAAAAGTACTAAACTTTGACAAGCTTTATACCTATTGATCATGCATGATTGATGCATGATCAATGCCCTATGCAGTACTACACCAGACCCACATGCCGTGTCATACCCCCTACTACAATTTTGATACTAACAGTATACAGTATTATAAAAATTTTTAATTTAAATAATTAATATTATTTACAAAGTAATAAATATACTATATATTTAAAAACATAAAGAATAAGATAGCTCAAGAAAATTTTTAAGTTAAAGCAAAAATTCTATTATATATTATGAATTATAAAAATCAATAAAATTATTTTAATTTATAAATTTATTAAATAAAAATAAAAAAAAATTCATAATAAAATTGATTTTATAAAATAAAAAATTTATAAATTTATAAATTTTATAATAAAATTACTGATTAACTAATAATAAAACTTTGATAATATTATCACAAATTATTTTATCAATTCTTTATTTGTATTAAATAAATATTTATTGAATTACAATAAATAACATCAGTTTAAAAACTTTTATCATTCATATACTTATGATATTCATATAAATCCAATAAACAAAATAAATATTATAAATAAATTATAAATATATAGTAATTCTTAAAACAATAAAGTTATTTTATAATTTATTTATAATAATAGTTTCATGTAAAATATTTAATTTTATAATTTAAACTAATTTTAATCTATAAAGTAAATGTATTTTTGATAATAAGTTTTATATTCAAAAAAAAATTCTACAAAATTTAAATAAAATTTTATTATTTGATTTAACAAATTTTAAAATTATATATTATAATAAAAAAATATTTAAATTACGTAACAAAAAAATTTATTATAAATATGATTCATTATAACAAATGTGTTTATTTAATCTGTTAAGATCAATTTTCGTAAAAAAATAAAAATTCTTATAAGAAATAATGATTATAAATTAATAGGTATAATTTTGAAATTAATTTTTGTTAATAGTAAATTTATTTATTAAATGATTTTTAAATATCTAATACAAATTTATAAATTTAATACATACAGTATAGATATACTTTAAAACATAATAAACAAGATCGATTGATTATATATTGCTTGTTAAAAACACTTGTTTTAGAAATAATGTGAATGCCGAGATTAAACAAAAACAAAAATCTTGTGTAAAATGTAGACCATAAATATTACCAATAAAAGTTATTAAAAATGTTAAAGATTTTGTTGTAATTGTTTAATTATACATAGAGTATATATATTTAATAAAATATAATGGTGAATATGTAGTAAGTTTTATACCCAAAGAAAATTTCAGATTTTTTAAAAACCTTGATGCGTTAGATTTTCTTTATTAAATGAATTGGAATCCAGAAAATTTTAGATCAACATACAGTATATATATTACACAATTTTTTTACTGTATAATAAAATGACAACTAATATGCCTTCTCCTACAATTAATGGATGGATGACAGCAGAACTTGAATCTGATTGATTTTCAGCTTGTTGAGTTTGATTACTATCGAAAATTAGAGAAACTATTTACGGACGTTTATTATCAGTTAGTTTTAATTAATCTTGAACCAACAGTTAGATTAATTACCGGTTTGGTCACGTATTCGTTTATCTTGACTTTTACTATTGCCGTGAAGTGTTTTTTGCTGGATATTTTAGTGCCCTCAATGTTAATTTGGCCATATTTGGATATATTACAAGACGTGACTAGATATTTACGCGGGAAAATTTGTAGGGGAAAGTTTTTAGAGAAAGTACTTATAGCATCAACGTTATTGTATATTTCCTAAACGAATGATTCTTTAAAAGTTCGCGTTATTTATTTTTTTATAGGAACTGCGAGGTTAAGATAAGCGAATACTACTGAAGTCAATTGTATAAGAAAATCAAGATCTATGGTTGTGATATTAGGGTCCTAGAGAAAGAATTGAAACAAGATTCGGAGACCGGTCATTTCCTCAGCGAATATGATAATGGATTAATTGTTTTCAAATCAATTTCAAGATGGCTAATGATTGAAAACAAAATCACTATCAATCAATAAATGAGAGCATCAGGAGTTGGATTACATGTAATTGGGAAGCGAATAGGCATTGCAAACAAAGTTTAAACAATCTGGCTTAAAGGCTTGTAATTTAGTTATACATTTACAAGATTATGCAGTATACTTTCTAATAACTAATATTTTCTAAATGGAATATTTCGATAAAAGAGTGTCATCTGAAAAACTAAGCGTATGTCAATCTTCTCAGGATAAGCGAAAGGCATTACTGATTTGACTTTTCGTCTCTACTATCAACACAATTAACCGCTAGATATTTCACTTGATGAAAATAATCTCTATCGGAACTTTCAACCAGCATATCAGTAATGATCCTTAACAAAATCATTTTTTACAATGATGGATTAATCTTTTGTATTTTAACCGAACACTAATTCTTTATTTAAAAAGCACTATATATATATAAAGCTTATGGGCTAATACTGTAATACTGTACTTGAGATGATCGTCATTCATATTCCTCGTCAAAAAATTTTTAAACTCTGGTTATATATTACGCTATACCTAATCTCCATACTCTCCCCAATGACAATTATAGCGGGAGGGGTTCTCATCTTCGCGATAGGTCCATTCCTCGATTGAATCAACTGTGATCTGAAAATCAGGATTATTCCCATTCCACCATTCAACGAATTTTTCAGGAGTAGTGAGCCCTTTTGCTTTAAGGTCGAACATATACTTGGGGTCAGGAAATTTAAGAGTGTATTCGTAATATCTCCTGAGAGAAACTTAATGTTAGAATAAAACGCAAGCAATTAGTAATTTTTCTTTAAAACCTGTTGAATCAGAATCAATAAGATACAATACGGATGCTGTGCCTAATCGTCAATGTTTTGGATTCTTCAGAATCACTATCATCTTCGTCAGGTGAGTACAAATCATCCTCTAAAATTAAATTTAATGACTTTGATATTTAATAATACTTGGAAAAAGTGGTACAGTACTCTCAATACCTTGTATAACAACATTAGAGTTATCTTCCAAAGAAGGGTTTTCATAATTTTCAACAGATGTATTTCGAGAGTTGATAATATCCATCGTCTCACGTTAATTTAAAAAAAAAAACTGACGAGTTGCACATTTTATAGTGATTTTATTTTACGTCATTGTCTTATTATATAAGATAAGCTTATCTAAATTTAGGCCCAAATCCACACAAACCAAATACTGTACTGTACGTGGTGCGTCACAAGGGCGCATTAGTAATGACAATGTCTCTTCTTTCACTCATTGGTCGAGTTCATTATAGCTTGCGATAGAAAAAATAGTTCCTAGTAAGAACCGTGGATATGTACAGTATAATATGACGATCGATTGAATTACGTATTGTACTGTACTGCGACGGTTGATCGGCGAATCTGTCGCAATAGTGGGCAGAATTCCGCGTAATCGTCGATGAAGTATGCGTTTCTAAAATCTTTTAAGGCGTGTTTGATTTGTCCAGTAAAAAAAATTCTTGTATGTTTTATTTCTTATATAAGTTAGAACAATAAGTATGTTGAAGTTGATTACCTAAGGTCTTTTCACAATTCTCTCCGATTACATTATATTTTATCATAATTACTCCTATTAATTAATCGTTTATCCCAATCCTCCCCTTTACTGTATTTCCTAATTTTTATAACAAACTTACTATTCCAATTTCGTCTATCATAATCCCTTTTTTACTTACATACTTTTCTATCACAATACTTAAACGGTCTCGCGCGGTGATTGGAGTCACGTCGCGTTTTTGCCCACTGACAATATGTTACAAGGCCCGATGTGGATAAACTTTATTAATTATTTAACAAAAATCATGCCTTACAAACAAAATTAAAAAAAATACCAAGCTTTGAGACTGAGACTGTAATCGTTATTTTCCTAATCTGAAATGCCACATATTTTAATATTATCCAAACTCAAATCTTGAAATGTAAATTACTTATAAGCGATTTTGAATTATAGTATTGCCTGTGATTTTGAGGATATTGTAGGCAAGGGCTTTGAGGTTATAAAAAGGCATGACCATGAAGGATATGACCAGATAAGTAGTTTCATACCCGTTTTATATACCTTGGTGCGTTCGTACATTTATTAGAAAACAACGCATTAGATAATACTATGGACTTTTTCCATTAATAAAATTATTATTCTTTATAAAATGAAAATACAATGATAATTATAGATTTCTTTATACCAAAAAATAATTACATGTGTGAAGCGGGAAATTTATCTACGCATTATTCTTCGGTAAATTTTTTAATCTTAACCTTCTTAGTGGCTGGGAATTATCAAAACTAATTCTATCCTTCAATAAGCCATGATGATGCCTAACACTTGCTTTATATCTTTTCGAATGGAATCAATATCTTCTTTAAGGGCTTTTTGTAGAGATTTATTTGATATTCGCTTTACTGGTACAATAAATACCATTGGTAGCAAAAAAGAATAAATGCCATTCCATGACTAGAAAAAAATCCAAAGTTTTAGCCGGAACGCCCCGCCAAAAATGATTCCAAAAATCCACGTATATACTTGTGGAAACTGTCTAACAGAGATAATCGTAATCATAATCCAGAAAGCTTCGTCTGTTGTACGCTTCTTTTTATTGGTATGTTACACACTTTCTAGTTGTATTATATTCTGGAGGTAATCGATTTTGACGTTACAAGTCTTCCCATGTTTCCTTTTACTGTATTGCATAATCGACACGTCCAGATGCCTCCTCACCGGTAACTACTTTTTGGTATGGCATGTTGGATTGCTAATTCGTAGAACGATAGAAAAAGATGAGTTTAATATTGATGTAATAAATACACAACAGGCTGCTTTGTTGGCGTTGGTCTGCGTTGTTTTTAAATTCAAAGGTTCTAGTGCTATTCTATTCATTCATTGTCCAAGGAATTTGTCATTATCATCAATTTTTCAACCGGACTAAATTGTTTGATATTCGTAATATTCTCACCGTTAACTTCATATTACCTTTTAATTCATCCAGTGTTCTGTACAACGAGAAACTTTGTACCTCTGCTATTTGAGATCCTCAATAATTTGCAAATTCCGTTGCAGGATCTCCTTTTATATTGTCGTAGGCTCTCCGGCAAGCCCACACTACAGGTCGTCGCTTTATGGTTCACAATAAGGCAAGTACTCTTGAGGCGTGTTTCCGATTTGGCCGTTTTCTCACTTTAACTTCTCTACCGACCAACCAAGAACCCTTCCAATGTCAATACCTTAGGCAACCCTCGATTCTTTCTTGTAGTCGCGTAGCCCAAGTTACAAGTCTACTTTGGCACACTAAACACAATATCAGAGTTTATCTTTAAACGTTACTTCATTGTTTATTACTTACTGTAAATGCTAGTCTCTAAACTAAACTTCTCACTAAATCGTCTACATGCTACTGAATGGCGCATGTATTTATACATGCGCCTGTTATTTACATGTTTACATCTGATCGCTATTCTACACTACTCTAGAAATTTTCGTCGCTAAACTTTCCCACCGGCGATCTCATAACACTAATTACGTGACGCGATGGCGTGTCACGTTACTGCGCCTACTTTTTTACCCACGACAATATCATAACTATAAAACTCTACTTTGTTTATTTCAAGAAAAGCAAGATCACTGATAATCAACTATAAATTATACTTAAGCATAATTTTAACAAAAATTCACTAGCAAGTAAAAAAAACTCAAAGGATAGATTATATAAAATAAAAGACTTCCTTATAAATATTGTTTTTATAAAAATTATTAGAAATATTACTATGATTTTTTCTTCTTTCCTGGTTTTTAATGCATATTTTATTTTGAATAAGTAAAGGATCATATCAAACACATACATTCTTTATATTAGTTTATTAGTTCTTTTGCAAATCCATTGACCACATACACTCTCGAGATATTTTTTTACATTTAATAGCAATAAATTTTATCGACATTGATCTTTTAATTAATTTAATAAGCAGTAACTTTCAATTTTCTTCTTTTTTTTCAAAAACACTTAATTTATTTCTTTTTTTTTTTGATTGAATATAAAAAATTATTAAAAAAAAAAAACCTATAAAAAATAGCAATGAAATTAAAAATTTTTTATCTATAAAAATACACACATTTGATTGTTCTTTTCTTTTTTTCTTAAACAATAATACTTGTTTGATTTTGAATATTTTGCTCATTTCGATTTATTTTTAATTTTTAGTCTTATTGGATTTTCTGAAAATAAGTGATCACGTCACTAATTTATTAATCATATTTGGTTATAAAAAAATAAACAAGATATGTATTGTTTTCATATATTTTCAACTATATAGCACAAAACAATAACATAATTAATTATTAAAGAAATAAAATAATTTTTAAACATAAAAATAACCAAATAAACAAATAAAATTAAAGTTGTGTATATGCAGTATAAAGAAAGCTTTTTTGTTTTTTTTATTCTATTAGAAAACAACTATAAAAAACAAATGATAAAATTTTATTTTTTAAAAAAATAGTCAAATATTATTTCTTTATTTATCTGTATACTGCAAGATATATATTTTAATAAATAATAATATTACTTATATACAGTATATAAGCAAAAAGTTAGTTTATATATATAATTAGTAATTTCAGTTTTACTTTTTTGACATATATTGTATTAACATTAATTACATGTCTGTTATATATCGAAAAACAACCACATTGCATTTATTATTATTGTTTATTACTTAATTTGAAGCAAAAGTGTTTGAGAGTATAGACAATTTGATTTTTTTTTTGTTTAATTATAAATGTGTTGATTTTTTTTTGTTTAACTATAAATGTGTTGATTTTTTTTATTAGTAATTATTTAAAGCTTGTTTCAAGAAATATTAAAACTATAGTTAAAATCAAATATAACAAATCTCTCAATTACTGGTTTACTGATTTTGTCTAATTTTAAAAAGAAACTAAAGTTATTTAATAAGTCTTTAAGATCTATGGGTTTGAGAAAAAAATGTTATTATAGTTGAAAAAAAGAAATATAAGTTTTCTATATAGTTAAAAAAGAAGCAGTGATAATTCTAAAGACTACTGTTCAATCTTTGATAAATTTCACAAAGTTTAAGAAATATTATTGAAAAAAATTGAGAAAAATACAGATTTTATAATATGTACTTTGTTTATTATTGTGTTTTAGAATATAATAACAGTTTTTATTTATAAATATTAATATTAAAAATATATATATTTATAATTTAAATTAAGTTGACTTTTGGAAAAAAACTTTTTCCAAAGCCTTGTTTTTATACGTATTTCATTTTTTAACAATAAATTTTATTAAATATAAAGTATACATTGAGTCTATTTTTGAAAAAAAATTAAAATTAAAAAACAAATTTTCTTTATAAATGTGAAGCAGATTTGTTTCGCAATCATGATTTTTTGAAAATGAAATTGATATTAATCAAATATGAAATAGTAGCTGCATTACAAAATTAAACTTGTTTAATTATATTTTTATCTATTGTTTTAAATAATAATACTAGTATAAATATTTCTTATTTAGCTTAAATTATATTTTTGTTATCAAACTTGCTCTTTAATATAAAAGAACTAAGCTCTGTATAATAATAATTTTTTTATTCTTCAAATAAAAAAGGTTTTTTAATTTCAATGTTTGTTTTCTTTTATAATAAATTTTATTAACCTTTATATTAACTTTTATTTTATTCTTTGATTATAAGTAGTTTTTTTATCGACAGACATTTGTTCTAATTTATTAGAAATTTTTATCAAAGTTAAAGTATATAAATTAATATTTATAATTTTATATTGGAAATTCAATTGACTATTTTTTTGTGCACGGAAAATAATAGAAACTATATTTTGAAAAGTAATAATTGTTTTTTGTTTTTGAAGTTTTTTTTCTTTAATGTTTTGATAAATATGTTGAATCTTTATACTGTATATTAAATAGATATTTTTTTCGTTGAATCATGCTAAATGATATTGATGCGATGAAGGTATGATTTAAAATGCAGTAATTTTTTTCTTATATAATTCTGAGTTGCGTTAAATCTTAATGATGTTAGCATAAATGAGGTGACCATGTGATGCTGAAATTTTAATATGTGCAGTATGACTTATAGTGATCGTCTGTACTGGATTACTGTAATCAATACTTTTTTAATGTTTAACGTTGCAGGTTTCTCCACTAATGTTCCTGTTATTCTTCCATCTGATCTTCCGACAGTCGAGGAAGTGAGAGGATTTAATACCGAAGAACTTAATGGCTTTTTGAAAAGGAGGTTAAACGACATTGATGATCAAACAGACACGTTAACATCTCAAAAAGTCAGGGGCTTAACTTTTCTTAAATTAACACGAGATAATCTTTTGAGTATCCAAATACCTCTCGGACCAGCAATAGAAATCGTTGAGTTGATTAATGAAATTCAAGGAGGCAAGTGAACTTCTCTTGCACGCACTTTTATGCTTGCCAATAATACAGAATACTTATTCTTGTGATTTTCTTTTCTGCTTCCTATCATCAAACCCGCCTCCAAAACACACTCGCGTTATCGTATAACAACCCGTTGCCGACAAGTGAGTCGTAATAAATTAGTCAACGCGAGTAAACGCGTCTTGGCTTGATTTTTGATAGTCATTGTTTCATTCTCGTCTTTCAAACCTAACCTATTTTTCTCGTTATTTTTCCTTTCCTTATTATTATTGCCTTTTCATTCCTGTCGATCCAGGTAGACCCGCTAAGAACCAAAAATTAGGAAATAAGTTTTATTGGGGGTTAAAATGAGCGGACTGTCGGAATTTTATGTAGACTAGGATAATCTACTAACGACTTTAATTTACTCTTTCAGATCCATTGTTTATTAATATATTAGAAGGGGTCTTCGATCTCAGGAAAACATTCCCAGAAAATTTACAAAATAATGTCGGAGGAACAAGAAATAGAGCAGAGAATTGACTTTAATTAGTACAAATCTAATCCAGCACCCTGACAGAAAACCTCTTGCAGTAATTAAGGAACATGTGCTATATGTACGGAAATCCTATGTGGATTTATATCACATAGTTACCAATGAGAATTGCAATCCCAAGTTCCTCATATCTGTCACGTCGGGTATCGGTAAATCGTGTTTTTATATTTATTTATTAATCCGGCTTTTGGTCAACAGAACCGATGCCACTGTCATTTTTAAGGCTCTTGATGATAAAATTTTATACTGTTTTGAGGATTCTAATCTGTTTGTTGGAGATTTTGAAGAATTTTTGGAGCGACTATGTAACCCCCAAACGTGGTATTTGGTGGATGGTACAGTTCCCAGTGATGTCTTAGCAAGAACAGTCATTTCTGCATCATCAAAAAGTATCAAAGACAGAGGATTTCAATAATTCCTCAAAAAATTTGTAAATAAATTTTGCATGCCACCATGGTCAATAGAAGAGTTGGAAACCTGCCGATTAGGTGTCTTCCTGGAGGTGCCATAAGATTTATGTTTGACCTTAGTGACGAAGCAGGTGGTGTACCAAGATACGTTCTTGATATGCCAGCATCTATTATTCGTCAGGAAAATCCCAATGTCAAGGGGCAAACAGACCATTCTCAGTAATAGGAATGAGGTTAAGAAAATGTCTTTAGAACGTGTTAAACAAGCTCTTTCTGAAATTAGAGATTTTAGAAAGCTTATACGGTGCTTCTCTGAAAATGAAAATATATTGAATTCAGCAATCACCTTATTCATCGGGGGCCTGACACTTTCTACCGAGAACAATCTCTCTCATGTGCCTCTGGTTGTATTTTTGATAAAATCCAAAAAAAAACTGGAAGATAGTAGATGGAACGATCTATTTCTAAAAATTCAATATCCTGGTGACCCTTCTAGCTCCAGGGGGATTATGTTTGAATCACACATACTTCACCTCTTTAAGCTTGGTGTCAAACGTTTAAATTGAGAAGACTTAAAGAAAATAAGATAAAAGATTTCATATCACTTTTGATAATATGACTTTTTTCATTATTAGAATGATCCAGTCATTTACAGTAAATTAATTATAGTAACAAAACCAACTACGAAGTATATCCGACATGCAAACCAGCTCACAGGGCATAACGAGGAAGAAATAATTATCAAACCAACCATAAGAAATTTCAGTGCGGTAGATTTAATTCTTACACCGAACTGTATCTTTCAAATTACTGTGTTCCCAAAACACCCCGTGAATCAAAGTGAACTGATCAGCATAGTTCAAAATATGCTAGCATATAGGAAGAATCCGAATGCAAAAATTCTTTATATTTTATTGGGCCGGATGATATATGTGATACCTTCAGATACCAAAGTTACGTAACGCCCAAGAAAAAAATTGGAAGCGATCTTGAGACTTTTCAGGCAGTTAAAAATAAGTCTCCTATTCTTCATAATGTGGAACAATGGGTCGTAAAAATTAAAATGACACCCAAAATGACTATAACATCTGTACTAAACAACGTGATGACAGTGGCAAATTCCTGTTTATAAGATTCTGCAACGTCAATTACTTATTGAGTATTTGGGTTCTAAATCGTTTTGTTTTTCATATAATTAAGTTATTCCTAATTCATGTTGTTTGTTACATGAAGAATTTTGGAGGATGTTTAATAGTTAATATAGAGTATATATCACGGACACTTAAGAAATAGCTTTATTGTATGAAAATCACTTTGCTAAAAATAAAAGTCTGATCTTTTTTTTCATATTGGCGGTGATTAAGTGCATATTTCCAACGAATAAAGACATTTACAACACCATCTATTTCAAATTTAAGCTCGGATAAAAGTCTGGTAACATATACTGATAATATATACTGATAATATATATTGATAACAACAGTACTTTTTTTTATACAAAGTAAAATGTCGTGTCATGTGATGTTTATGTAACTCGACCATAGATATGTCTCGAAGTTTGACAGTTTTTGATAATTAATAATCAATAAAGTCTACTAATATTTGACTTTGTATTTTTATTGCCTAGCGTGTAACATAGAACTTATACTCATAGTATTGCTAAACTTATATAGTTACAACTTATCTTATATACAGAAATAATCCATCTTGATTCAGAATCAAATTGGTTTAATAAATTTACAAATAACAAAAACCTAATAGGATTCTATAGCTCAATACAAAATCCTAAAGCTACATTTTGATTTATATATAGTCTTAATACAATAGTCAAGACTTACAAGAGACAATCATATATAAAAAAAGGAATATCACTTAAAGAAAAACACTTTATAATAAATATGAACAACAATTTATTCAAATATTTAGAATTTCTAGCAGGCATACAAATCCATAACTTTTATTTGATAATATTTATAAGCATAATAGAATCAACACTGTAGATATCTATCATTCAATCTATTCAATACCATAAATATCAACTATTAAATATTATTGATAAAATCTTCAACTTACTGCAAGAAAATAAGCATATTCTTCAAACAATTAACATCAATATCAATTCTTTCTTTCAAGCAATACTTGAAAATATTGGCTCTCAACAACACTATTATATGGGTTGGTACACAGCAAAACCATGCTTTGAGACAAAATTCTTGTTTGAAGATATCGACAATTATCAATTTAAATTTATATATCGAACCATATAAAATTAAAAAATTGCACACAAAATTGTACCAAATTATAATAGATTAATATACAGTATATCCAAACTCTTATCATGGTTAAAGGACATTCTTGGAAATATAATTCACTAAAAACCTCAACTTTTGTTAAAATCTTTCAAAGCATGGTTTTGCTGTGTACCAATCCATATTCAATCTTACAAAAATAATCTAATTATTAATAATTTCAAAGTAAAATTTATCAATTCTTGTTTGACTCTTAGCAATATTCTACTTGTAATACTTAACTTTATTTAATGAAATTAAAAACAAGAAAATCTTTCAATTAGTATTAATGTTTTTCAGAAAAATGATTAAGATTAATTTTTTCTTTTTAATTCAAAAAATAAATCAAGTCATAAAACAAAGATCAATAAAAGTAATATATATCAAATTGAAATTCAGGTCAACAATAGTTAAGATTATTCAATATAACAATCCTTTACCTTATTTCTCAAAAAATTTTCTAATCAACAATATATTGTTTTTACTATTAGCAAATCTGTTGCTAACCTAGGGCCAGAACTCATATCAAAATAGAATTGAACTTAATGAGTCTTTACTTGTTTTCTTAAATATTACAAACTTGTTTTTTTTATATTTAACTAATTTTTTCTATTCTATTCTTGCCTCTTAGCAAAACACCATACAATTAACAGGTTATGAACAAGAACAATAAGTTTTATTAATTAAATATTATATAAAGATAAATCAATATATAATTTATTAAATAAATTTTTCCTTTTTTTATTATATAATTGTACAGTTATTTATATAATCCATAACATATTTATAAATTTATTGTTGTATTTTGCAAACTTCAAAATAAGCTTTTCAAACTTTCATCTACTGATATATAATTTGACGTATCTAATCCTATATTATATTTTTTATATTATGTTATATCTCCTGTTCATATTAGGTTTCATTCTTAGTATTAACAAAAAAAATACTTGAGTAAGGCCTAATAATGGGATGTTTATATAATGCACCTAATTAGAGCAACAAAAATATTTTAGTAAATAGTCTAATAATACAATAAAAAGCTTAAACAGTTTGTTTTATAGTATAATAGTTTATATGTCATAACATTATAGTTTTATAGCATATTAGTAACAATAGTGATAATAATATAAATAAAGGTGAAAAAGTATAAAATAATAATAATAATAACAATAGTAATAATAATATATATAAAGATAAGAAAGTATAAAGAAATAATATCAATATCAATATCAATATCTATTAGATTAATATATAAATTGGTTTTTTATAAGAAATAATACTTTTTAACAAGTCATAAGACCAAATATTATATTGATTTTATTTAATTACCTTATCTGGGATTGAATTAATATATTGTGATTTGATTTGTAATATATTTGTTACTGTATTATAGACTTATAGGTCTTAAAATAAAATAAATTAAATTAAGAATTTAAAATATTATAAATATAATTTTATTAAAAAAAATTATAATAATAATTATAAGTAATAGACTTGTATTTTTTTTTTAAAAAAAAATAAAAAATAACACTTTTATTTATTTTTAAAATTATATTTAATAATTAATAATTTAAAATAAATATAAACCTATTCCTGTAATACAAAAAATTTAATTAACAAATCCATATATTTTTTCCAAATAAATATATTTGATATATTATTAATTCAATACATATTTATTGATTTCAAAAATTATTTTTTATTCTCAATATATCAATATATCAAACAAATAAATAAAACTATCAAACTATAGAAATTATTTATTTTGAATGAGCAAAAACAATATTTAAACCCGACTTTTCTTTTTTTACAAATATTTAAACCTTTCTAAAAACATATTAATTTTATTTATTCAATATTAATTCAAAATATACAACTTTTTGCTTCAAAATTATTTTTAATATATTATTAATCAAATCTTATTTCTATATTATACTTCTATAAATATATATTAATAACACATGTCCATATACAACTCTTTTCCAAAAACTATATATTATATTTGATTCTGCAATGAAAACATATCTATAATTAAAAAAATTCTTTGATATCCAAATATAAATTATAAAAAAATTTTAAAAAAACAAAAACTTTAATTTGAACCTAATACAAAAAACAATTAACAATCCTATCTGTTTAATTAATTTTTCAACAGATACACTTCAGCTTAAAAACCTATTTAATAACTTATAGCCAACTTAATAAAATCTAAATATTCTTAATACAATTCAAAGTAATAATATAAACTCATCTATATTAATATCTGATTCCTAAGGAATAAAGATATAATAGTTAAAAAGAAATTTTTTAACATATTACAAAACACAAAATATAAAAAAAAACAAAAACAACAATAAAACTCAAAAAAAATCATACAATATTAATAAAATATAAAACTATTCTAACAACTAATAACAAATTAATATAATTAAACAATTTAACTAATATAATGCTTAAACTTTTTTTAAAAAACTTTTCTATACTTTTTCAAAAAAAAAATAAATTATTGAAAATATATTGGCTTTTTAAAATTTGATAATTCTTTTTTTTTTTTTTGCTTAAAGTTTTTTAGAAATATTTCTAATATGATAATAGGTTAACATATATAATAATGTATTTTATATCTTAATATTAATAATTAATATAAATTGTTCTATTAATAAAAATTATGAAAAATACTTTACTTAACATCAAAAAAAATTTAAGATAAATATTTAAATATCAATAATTAATTTATATACAAATATATATATTTATTATATAAATATATTATATTTTAAAAAATAAATAATCACAATAAATACTTATTTAATTATTAAAAAATAATTAAAAAATAATAGTTTAAATACTTTTGTAATAAAATATATATTATCATATATATTTTTTTATAACAAAAAATAATCAAATTTTTTTATTTTTATAAAAATTTAGATTTGTATTTTTACATTTATATTAATAAAATAATTATATTTTTTACTTTTTAATAAATAAAAATTTGTTATTTAAACTATTATATAATATACTTAAACTTTTACAATAAATAAAATAAAAAAAAATAATTACTTACAAAAAAAATTATATAAAAAATTTTAAAATTTAATATAAATTTTTTTAATTTAAATTGTAATTTAAACATTAATATTTTATTATGAATTTCTTTTTATAAAGAAAAAGTTTTTAATTTAAAGTAATTTGATTTTGTTGATTTTTTTAAAAAAATCAAAATATTGTTTTATTTACACATTTTTTAATATATTTTTTATTTTATTTATTGTTTTTATTGATTTTATTTAATTATAAATTTTTATTATAAATTATTTATTTTATTTATATTATTATTATATAAGTAAAAAAATTGTTTGTAAAATATTATTCATTTATAATTAAAAAGTTTAATTAAAAATTATTGTTTTTTTTATATTTTATATTTTCTTTATATTTTAGATTTTGTCATAATTTACATAAAAAAATTTTTTTTTCTGTTATTAAACTTAAATTTATAATTCTTTATTTTATAATATATGGTTCCGCGAGATTTATTACGTGTCGAATACGGGTGACGTACGGGGAGCATTTTCTGCACCCCAAAATAGCAACCTTAGAGACAGTGTAATTCCTTTTATGGAAATTAATCATTCGAGTGGCTTAGATCTATAAATGGTAGAAATTGTTTCGCGCCTCCTATTTATAATACGAAAGTCTGCAAATTGGTGTCTTATAGGATTTCTAAACGAAAGCAAAGAAGAACCTTTCCAGCTGAAAGTGGACCTATACTTGAGATCCCTTAGGTGGATTATTAATTATGAAAAAGGATTTAGAAAGGAAAAATCCCAACTTCTTTATAACAAATATAATAGCAAGGAAAGTAATTATATTTTTTGTTGGAAATATTAATAAGT